GTGAAGTTGGGTCGTTATAAACACTGATCAGTCCCTATGTCAAGTTTCATATGTTAAATAAACTAGATTTTTTCTGTTATGAAATAAGTGCTGCTGCTACTCACAGGGCCTAGAATAAAGGTGTCTCTGGGCATATTCTCTCACATAAGGAATCTAGGCAGTGTTCGCTCCATGATGTTATGAGGAATCCAGGCTTTTGTTAGTTTGTCTGTTTGAGTTTAAGTCTCGCTCTGTCGCCAGGCTGGAGTGCAGCGGCGCTATCTCGGCTCACTGAAACCTCCGCCTGCTAGGTTCAAGCGATTCTCCTGCCTCAGCCTCCCGAGTAGCTGGGATTACAGGCACATGCCACTACACCCAGCTACTTTTTGTATTTTTAGTAAAGAAGGGGTTTTACCATATTGGCCAGGATGGTCTCTATCTCTTGACCTCATGATCTGCTGGTCTCAGCCTCCCAAAGTGCAGGAATGCAGGCCTTTTCTCTCTCTTTTATGCCATTATAGAATTGGGCTTTCATTCTCAAGGTCAAAGATGGCTTTTAGAATTTTAGCTGCCACATCTTTATTCTAGGCAGGGAGTAAGAAGAAAATGGAAAGGGCAAAAAGTACACATGCCAGCTATCAAATTTTTAAGATTTTCTGAAAATTCCACTCAACAGCTTTTTACATGTCATTGACTGCTGGTTTGGAAATGTAGTCATTTAGCTAGCATATTTCCACCCAGAATAAAATTATGGTCTGTTCTTAGGAAAAATGGATACTGAGTGCGAAACTAGCAGTTTCTACCACCAATGTGTAAAGAGTAGACTGATTAAGATGGTGAAGGGTCTGAAAATTATAAAGCATGAAAAAAGATTAAAGGGATTTGGGTGCTTAGCATGGGTTAGAGAAGATGTTCATAATGTAATAACAGTGTTTAGTAAAGAGATTTCACGCGGAAGAAAGTTTAGACCTATTTTATGGAACAGAATTAAAACAAAGGGGTAGGATGGGCACAGTGGCTCGTGCCTGTAATCCCAGCACTTTGAAAGGCGGAGACAGTTGAATCACTGAGATCAAAAGTTTGAGACCAACTTAGGCAACATGGCACAACTTCATCTCTACTAAAAACACGAAAATTAGCTGGGTGTGGTGGCGGGCACCTGTAATCCTAGATACTCAGGAGGCTGAGGCAGAAGAATTGCTTGCACCCAGGAGATGGAGATTTCCGTGAGCTGAGATAGTGTGACCACACTCCAGTCTGAGCAACAGAGCAAGACTCCATCCTAAATAAATAAATAAACAAATAAATCAAATAAAACAAATGGGTGAGCTAGACAGAGAATTTTTGTTGAGTATTGCTAAGGATTTTCTCACAATAGAACTTTTCTGAAATGAAATGGGCTACTTTTTGAACACCTGAAGGTTCCACATTTTCACGGTTACATGAGATGATTATATACTAAATTCTTAGGGGGATCACTACCTCATTATTTTTATCTCCTAGACCATGAGCTAAGTGTGTATTTTCACAACTAAGACCTCTAAGTTTCAGGAGACTTACTTCTATGAAACTGTGAAAAAAGAAAACAAACCTAAAACCACTAACTCTTCCTTTCTCTGTGCAGATTTTGGAATTACAGATGCAAAGTATAATGGAAAAGAAAATGAAAATCAAGAGACGTGTTGCCAAGCATTACAAGGAAGACCCATCACTAATAACTCTCCTTTGCAGAAACTGCAGTGTACTAGCTTGTTCTGGGGAAGACATCCATGTAATTGAGAAGATGCATCATGTCAATGTGACTCCAGCATTCAAGTGAGTCCAGAAAGAACCATTTCAAAATTTTTTCTACCAGGGGTGAAGCAGGTTGCATTGTAAATGTTCTTTCAAAATAGTGCAAATGAGAATTTACAACTTTCCCTCCTTTATCCCCTCAATTATATCCCTATTTCAAATGTCTATTTTTTTAAGTAAACTGCACTGGGGCAGGAAAGGAGAAGTGTAAGAACCAAAGCCATTTTGATCCAAGGCACATATTTTTGTATGCTCATCATTTGTTCTCGAATTTCTGAACAACTAAAGTCAAGTTAATATAACCAACAAACTTGAAAGAAGTTACAAAAGGTAACGTGCCCTTTGAGAGAGATGTGTAGAAGAGAAAGGTTGCCTGAGTTGCCATAACAAGCCTGGGAAGCAGGAGGGAAGGAAGGAATGCCATGTAGAATAACACATGCATGTGGATGAGCTTCAGGTCCAACAACCCATGAACAAAAAACCCATTGATATTTTGTCAGTTCTCTGTGATGATTTTTCTTCCCCTTTGATACTTATAGGGAACTCTACATTGTGAGAGAAAACAAAGCACTGCAAAAGAATTTTGCCGACTATCAAACAAATGGTGAAATTATCTGCAAATGTGGCCAGGTGAGTCAATTGCTGTGGACCTGATTTTGCTTTAGCCAAAAGGAATGTTTAATTGCATGTGCATTTAATTTTCCTCTTGCTTTCTCTTTTATTTTCCAGGCTTGGGGAACAATGATGGTCCACAAAGGCTTAGATTTGCCTTGTCTCTTAATAAGAAATTTTGTAGTGGATTTCAAAAATAATTCAACAAAAGAACAATACAAAAAGTGGATTGAATTACCCATCACATTTCCCGATCTTGACTATGCAGAACACTGTTTATTTAGTGATGAGGATTAGCACTTGATTTAAGATTCTATTTAAATACTATCAATTAAACATTTAATATGATTTTGATTAATGTATTCATTATGCTACAGAGCTGACATAAGAATCAATAAAATGATTGTTTTACTCTGAATAGAGCTCTTTTTAGGAACATATTATGCATTATCCATCTTGTTGGTGGGCAGGGGTAAGAAAAAATTTACCAATAATTCTCATTAGTGTGGAGCATTGTAGTCCTGTTGAAAGAATGATGGAGTACAAATGAGAATTCAAGGTACCAATCTCAGGTCTGTCACTAATTGTCAGAATAAAATTAGGCAAGTCAGTTGATCTTCCTGAACCTTATCGATGAAATGGCCATAATATTCTCTGTTTTTGCTTTTTATTAATTTTGTATTGCTGTATAACAAATTACCACAAATTTAGCAGCTTAAAACAACACTCATTAATTATAATGCATGTCCTATTGATTAGAAGGGCAGGGTTCTCTGCTCAGGGTCTCACAAAATTGAAATCGAGGTGTTATCCCGACAGTGTTCTCATCTGGAGGCACAGAGGAAATAATCCACTTTCAAGTTCATTCAGAGTTTCGGCAGAGTTTGCTTGCTTGCAGCTGACTAGGGTGGCTGTTTTGCTGTCTGTCCACTGAGGATTGCTCTCAGCTCCAGCAACGCCCCTACCACATGGCATACTCAAGTCTCTTTCACAGCACAGATATTTGCTTCTTCATGGCCAAGAGAAGAATCTCTCTCTCAAGTCTGCTCAGATGGAGTCTTAGATAGGTTAACTGTAAACATAGAAGTGACGGTCTGGTTATATCCATAGGTCCTGCCCACACTCACTGAAAGGAGATTATTTAGGGAATCACTCCAGCAGTAGAAATCATGGGGATCATCTTAGAGCTTTGCCTCCCATGTCACTTCCCCAGTCTTTGCAACTAAATGATGTCATAGGAAAGCACTTTAAAAGCTATGAAGTACCATTAAAGACTGGTTAAGGAGCAGCATCAAGTAGCTTAAGGCTTCCTTCCTAGGCCTTCCCTTCAGGGAACATAATACTATGCTGCAGAACTACTACATAGTAGTGGCTAAATTCAGGCTGACCATTAATTCCAACAAGATTACCCGTGTCCCTGGACAGCTGTTCACCTCCCACTCTAGGATCAGTTAGCAGGGAGTAGATACTGGGTGTTATTGGAGAATAAAGAGAAAAATGTCTGCCTCTGCCCCTCCCAGAACACCACAGACAATCCTCCCAGGAGAAAGGCAGCCTCTTTTGAAAAGGAAGAGCCTCATTATTCAGACAGAGCCACAAATGACCATTTTAACCAAAACTTAGCAAGTCTCACAGATGGCTTGCTCCAAGGGAACAGTTACCTCCTGTGACTAAGGAGAAACAAAATGTTGGAGGGTGTGAAAAGAACATTCCTCTACAGTTTTGATGGATTAATTGAGTTGATATTACAGTAGTTTTGAATTTTTTCTTGATAATGCCTAAGCAGAGATGAATATTAACCAATCAGATCTCTTGGGTATACAGGAGGACAAAAGAAGACACACATAATTGATGGTTTTCTTAAAATACTTTTTAAAACTCCAGCTGACTCCATTTAAAGTATTGCTGTCTTCTAGAATGTTTTGGAAACTATGCAAGAAACCAAATGCATAAAATAGCTAAATGTACTACTGTAACATATGTAGACTGTTTTTGAGGTGTCAACAAATATCAGGTTTTTTCATCTATGTTTTTCAGTAACTTTTTTCAATTAAAAAAGTGTTATTTCTACTTTAAAGTTTTAAAATACATGTTTCAAATAGTGTGAAACTTAATATGTGATGGTACCTGAAAACTTGAACTGTGGTGCATATGTTTCATTCAAAAACTAACGATGACTATTGTAGCATTTCAGTTGATTGTTACTGAACAGTTCAATATTCATGATATGTTAGGGTCACTTACAAAATATGTTAGATATCAGCCTGTGAGTTAGAATGCCTGAGTTTTAGTCTTCATAAGACCTTCTGCCAGGTGTGGTGTCTCACGCCTGTAACCCCAGCACTTCGGAAGGCTGAGATGGATGGATCTCTTGAGGTCGGGAGTTTGACACCAGCCTAGCCAAATGGTGAAACATCGTCTCTACTAGAAATACAAAAATTAGTGGTAGCTGGCACCTGTAATCCCAGCTACTAAGGAGGCTGAGGCAGGAGAATCGCTTGAATCCTGGAGGCAGAGGTTGTGGTGAACTGAGATTGCACCACTGCACTCCAGCCTGAGCTAAAGGGGGAGACTCTGCCACAAA